ATTTTGAGATAATTTTAGATTTACAAAAGAGTTGCAAAATCACAGATTTCCCATATACCCTTCACCCAGCTTCTCCTTTTGCTAACATCTTGCGTAACACCAGTGACCAAAACTAAAATCAGCCTTGCTTACCTAAATGCAAGGGGGCTTGACGAAGTTCGTGGAAACTGGAAGGAAAAGATAAGGGGCTTTTGTTCCCACAAGCTTTTGGAAGCCCACTGGTACTCTTGAACGACAGAATTTGTTCTGATTTTGCTAGTTATTTCACAGATGTCTTTGTGTGCCAGGGCCGGTTCCCACCGTACATGTGCTTGTCAGGTTTTCTTTGTATTCTCCAATCTGTATTGTTCCTCAGTCTTTCCTAACCTGGGCATTGTTGGTGAGGACCAGCCTTTTCTTAGAGGCTTCTCTCCATGGGTGCCCACAATTTCTGACATAAGGATGTTGCAGGGAGGATGCACCTTTTTCAGCGTGTTGGTTTCAGGGCATCGTTTTCAATATTGATTCCTGGTGGTGCTAACAAACCTTTACTACTTGGTTACAGGGCTAACCACTAGATTTTCTGGTCTAAATTTACTGTTCTTCCTTGTGGAGTTACTCGGGATTTAGGAACCGATACAGATAATCTCCCTCACTTAGCTGCTGACTTGCCTCTTAACAGTTTTCCTTCCTTGGTTCTAATGACGTTTTCTCCTGTCCTCGTGCCTTCTACATGGAGCCATTAGAATTCTGGATCTTCAAAAGAGGACCCTTCTCCATATGCATATTTTTAAATTCAGCTATTTGTGCCTGTGGGCCCGTGGACATTTTTTCTTGAATGTGTAATGATCCAGTACTGCTGTAATTTATTTCATAACTCAACTTGTTCCAGTTTGGGCCACTGGGAACTTGTTCAGGTTGGCTCTTGTCTGCGTTCACCGTGCCCTCTGTACCCCCAGCTTTATTAGTTAAGTCTTTTTGTTCTTTCTGGTGCCACAAAATGCTCCACGTTCGTCCTGTAGTTTCCCCAGAATTTACCACTTCTCTGAGGACTGAGCCACGTCTCCTGCTTGTAGGAAGGTGTTGAGAAACAGACTGGTGACAGCTGAATAGCAGTGTTACGGATGCGTCACTGTTTCCAGTCCCTCACTGCTAGTGTCGGAGAGGAGTGTGTGCATCCTTGTGTGCACACCACCAATCCAGTGCCTCGGACTGGACTCTGGAACTCCCCCGGTCCTCAGCTAAGTCTTTGTGTTAACGGTGACATGATTCATTCTCTGTGATATATTTACTTACTGTTCAATCCTAAATTATGAACAGAGTAGTTAACCTATTACCCGCCCCCCCCCCCAGCAGTGCTGTATGCAGTGTTTGTTTTGTTTTTGCCTTTAGCATATCCATGTCATGTTGGGACACTTTTCCCAAGTTCCTGAGGTCCTTAGGGGTAGGAGTTACAGTAGTTCCTTGGTTCCCATTCCCTTCCGCAGGATTGTGTGATTCATCTACAGTACAGTGAGATTCATCTGTTACATGCTACATTCCAGCCTCCCCCACACAGCCTGCTTGATTTCCCAATTTACATACATTAAAATGCACCCGGGGGCATGCAGTTCTGTGGGTTTTGTCAGATGCACAGTCGTGAATGTGCCACCATAGTACCACCGAACACTTGTCACCCACAAGCTTCCTTTGTGCCAGCGCCCCATTCCTTAACCTCCAGCCGCCATCCGTCTGTTCTCGATCCTTACAGTTCTCCCCTTTTCAGAGGGTTAGGGAGATGGGTCATACAATCTGTAGTTGAAGATTCATTGAAGACACAGTTGAAGATTCATCCGTCTTGTACGAGTCAGTTCTTCATCTGACCTTTAGTGCAGAGGGCCATCCCTCTGTGTAAGTGTACCCCAATTACTCATTACCCATTGAGGCTCTTGGAATCGTTTCCAGTGTGGGGTATTAAGAACTTTATAAATTGACTATTTTAACATGTCCCCAAGTTTCATTCTGTAGAACATTATATAGCTCAGGGTGGTAATGCTGGCTCGTGCTTAATTTTACAGGAGCGTTGTATGTGCAGACATCATGAGAAGCTGCCAACCTTTCGCGGAAGGGGTCGTGCCCTTAGCATTTCTGCCAGTAATGTTGGTGTCCTCATTGCAGTTGGCACTGCCATCGGTTTTATTTGTGTATTTAATTTTAGTCATTGTATTAGGTGTGTGGTGGTATCGCAGTATTAATTTGCATTTCCCTAAGGGCAGGTGTTGAACATTTCCACCTGCTTACTTGTCACGTGAATATCATCTTAGCTAAATGTTCAGGTCTTTTGCTTAATTTTTAAATTGGGTTTATTTTCTTACTGTTGACCTGTGAGTGATTTTTTTTTATTAACAATTTTAATTTGATACTCAGTGGAGAAATTTTATGACTGGGCAAAATCACTGTATTGAACTTAGAAAACATAATAATTCCTAATTTCACCTAGTAAAAAATAGAGGTTTATCCTAGCAGTTATTATAATATACTATGATGGAATGTGCCTTGGTAGTGATTATAAAACAGAAATAATTTGTGTGCAAGGGTATTCAAAATACAGAAAAATAGATCTTCAGTATCTACATGCAGTATTGGAAGAAATCATTAGGTAATGCTTGCAGATTTTTCTGTGCATTTGGAAGTAATATATGTAGATCTCTACTGTGTGCTCTGATAGAAAATTTTGGAAATGAATTAAATTATGAGGACATGCTGATAAGCTTGCAGCCCTAAGCCTCGGCTGTGTGTGTGTGTGTGTGTGTGTGTGTGTGTGTGTGTGTGTGCGCGCGCGCCATGTACCACAGAATATTTGTTAGGTCCGTTTTACACGTACAATTCAGTGGCCTTAATTCTACTCGACATGTTGCGCTCCTGTCGCTGCTCTCCCCTTCCAGCGTCCTTTCATCACAGCAAACAAACCTAGTTACCTACCTCTCGAGCAGTGGTGACTCCCCAGACTCCCTCCGCTCATCCCCTGGTCACCATTGGTTAAGCTTTTTTTTTTCCAATCATTTTATTGGGGCCTCATACAACTCATCACCATACATCCATCCCTTGTGTGTCAAGCACTTTGGTACATTTGTTGCCCTCATCATTCTCAAAACATTTGCTTTCAACTTGAGCCCTTGGTATCAGCTCATTTTTTCCTCCCTCCCCGTTCCAACCTTCCTCTTAAACTTTTTAACTCGCTAGCATTTCTAGTTCTACATATGTCTTAAAAGTGGAATCGTGTAATACTTGTTCTTTGGTGTGTGTTTTCCAGGCTCAGCCATATCGTAGCCTGTATCAAAACATCATTTCTCTGTGGTAGCATACTATTCCATCAGATGGATGTACCACGTCTTATCTGTTGATGGACATTTTGGTGGTCTATAGTGAATTACGCTGCAGTGGAAAAGGGTGTACAAGTGTCTGTGGAAGTTTGTGCTTTCAGATCGAGGTGTGGGAGTGCTGGACCATCCATACATTTAATCTTTTTGAGAAACGGCTAGCTGCTCCCATTCTACGTTCTCTCTGGTTAGCAAGGGGAAAGGTTCCAACTTCTCCTCACCACAGGGTTCAACTCCTTATTTGGTCCTAATCGAAATACAAAGGACAAGGGACTTCAAGAAGTCTGTGGGAAAATTCCATTTCTTTCTGTCAGTTCTTTTTCCCACAAACTCTTTGAGCCCTACTCATTATTTCATTGTGGTTTTTGATTTGTGTTTACCCTAATGAGCATCGTATCCTCATTTTTGTGTATCTTCTTTGGTAAAATGTCTATTCAGGTTTGTTTTTTTAATTCAGGGTTTTTTATCCGTTTTTTTCTTGTTTTGCTTTGTACTCGTTTGAGTTGTTAAGTTCTAAGAATTCTTTACATATTCTAGATATTAATGCTCTATCAAGTAAGATTTGCAAGTATTTAGGCCCCATTGTGTGTGGGGTCTTTTCACTCTGTTGGTAAATCCTTTGCTTTACAAGTGTTTAGTTTTGATAAGGTTTGACTGTTTTTCTTACAATTTTGTCTTGAGCGTTCATTTAACCTTGTGTGTTGCTGCCTAGAGAAAAAAATGGTCCTTGTTTACTAAATAAATTATACTGTGTCCCAGGTGTTTTTTGTTTTGCTTTTTAAATATTTAAATAGCACTTCCTTAAAAATAGTCCTTTGCTTTCATAAGCCTCTTTAAATATACCATACTTAAAAAAAACATCTCTTTGTGCCTCAGTTCTGTGGCTTGGAGTCCATGGGAAACACCGGTGAATAGGGGCTTGGCATCAGCACTGGAGGACTTGGGGAGAGGAGGAGAATGCAGGCTGTGCAGTGGGTTTGTTTTCAGATTGAATTCCATTGGCTTCTTGCAACTTTCTCCTTAGATGTGGTTGTCCTGTTGTATTAGTTTCTTATCTTTTTGTTTCCCGTTAGACTTCCCACCACAGCTCCCCTGTGTGGGTCCTGGCCTGTTTTAGGGGGGAGGCTGAGTGAAAGGGGGGGGACGACTCAGAGTGGTTGGATTCAGAGCTTCCAGAGTCACACTGTTGATTGAGGTGAGGAGCCTTTGGTAGGCTCCATTTTCTCCTGTTTGGGAATACAAACTCCTCCCCCATCCCCGATTTCTGTTCCCTGCTCCTTGCTCCTAACTAAACTTGTGGGGGGAAATGTATAAAATGAAGTTTATCTCCAGATCTTCTGGGGAAAATATTAGTGATAACAGCACTTAACTTTCCTTCTTTTTAACGCTCCTACTTAAAAAGTTTTAAGAAAACTGTCTCCTCGGGATCTTATTTTCTGTTCTGAGGGACTCTGCCCTGATGTCAGAACTATAAATGACTTTTCTCTGAATAAAAAGACAAGTTACTAGTGGTTTTAAGTTGCTGGATTTTATTAAGATATTGGCAAAATTTCAACATACTCTTTATCTGAATGAACAGTTTGAATAAATAAAATAACGTTAACTCAGAGTGAGCTGTAAAGTGGGTGTGTAAATTGATGAATTCGTTGCTTCACTCCATAGGAAACTCGTGGCAGAGAACTGTCAAAACAAAGCGAACAAAACCTGCCTCTCGCCAAGGAGCACCGAGGGTCAGCATTAACAGTGCCTCAGCTGTGGGTGAGGGAACACCGCCATGCTACGTTGGGAGATTTCTTAGGGAAAACTGCCGTGTCCCTGTGGAGCTCCCGGCCCGCTTTAGAGGAAGTGACCGGCTGGATCATTCCTGTTTGTCTGGACAAGGCATCCTGCTGGCAGTATTATCTTACTATTTTCAAAAGAGATCGTTAAGCCTTTCTCGAGTCAGAACCAAAGAGTGGACTTTGTTTCCTAGCATCAGTGGGTTTTACAAGCTGCTGGGGAGGGTAATGATGATGGATGAGTTGTGTGACTAACTTAGGGTTTGAAGAAAAATTGCCCCAAATTATGTGTGAGCAAAACTGCAGTATCCCATTAGGGCCTAGCTACTCAACGCTCTTCAAGTGAACAAACGGAAGACCCCGGGGGCACTTTGCCACGGAGCCTCAGGCAGCAGTGGGCCCCAGGTGATGGGAAGGCGTGCGGACCACAGCGGTGCTCTCGCTGAGGGAACCAGCCCCTCCTCTTCCTGTGCCCGCCCTGGGTGCACTCTCAGCTGTGGGTGCTGTCGGCATGAAAATGCAGTGTGGATGCTAGACCACTATAAATGTGGTCGGAACTGGACTCAGCGGGGACGTTGACGTGGTGACATTATCCTTGAAAAAGGTGTGACTTTCAAAGATCCTCCTCGCTTTAGTGAATTAAGTGCCAGAGTCACGTTCGTCCGACTGATTCCAGGATAATAGATGGCACTTCTAGGTAAAGAAAAGATATGCACACTCGTGTGTCTCTTGCCCATCGTCCATAGCATGATCCTCAGTGGGAATGAACAGTCCAGCATTTGGTGCTGCAAGTTTGCCTCACTCAGGGCTCCCTCGAAAGTACACATTTCGGAATCGGGGACTGACTCCCTTTGAAACTCACAGGGAATGCGCAAGGAGTTCAGAATGACTGCGTTGGTAGCTTGAAGTCTGATTCCCTAACCAGTACTGCACATCCTTGTTGACGTAGGTTTGACTATTAACTATTCTAACAAAATTTGTTTAGCAGGCAAACATGGATGCAGATCATGTGAAACTGAAAAAGGGCCAACACAGCAGCTCTTGAAGGATTGAGTGTAGAACTTTCACCATCACTAAGTTACACAATGGGTAGAGGTACAAAACACGTAGTTCAAAGACCGTACCTCAGCATTAACAGTTAATATATATTATATAGGTACTTTTACATCTGTCTAATATTTTTACAGTCACCAGATACACCATCATTAAGTACAAATTACAGAAATGTGTAGATACCATTAGAGGGGTACTTATTGCTTACGTCAGCAAGCAGCAAATAAGGGCACAGGAGTGAACTGAAGGGAACTAATTCCTGTTATCACCAGTGGCGTGAAGATATAACACTGCATTTCACAAAGCACTGCTGCTTCTCTGCTTTACAGACCCGAGCAGCATGTGTCAGACCAGAAACCACTACTTGAATATGTATTAAAGAATTTTAAAGGACTTAACCTTACAAATGGTACCTAACTACTCTATAAATATGTATGTTGTGAACAAATGAATAGTTGCTATTTTTTACAATATTGGTTTATAACCCGACCACGGGAACTACGTTGCTTTATTTTCTAGAGGGCTAATGGTATGAGAAATGGAGTCAATACTGCTTACGTTGTCGGAACTACAAAAGCCACACCCTTAGATACGTGGTCTGTGCCCATCCCAGGTTCATCCAACCAGTTTTTCCCCTCGAAGACACCCATCACTCTACCTCACTTTGCTTTCACCTTGTTGATTCTGATCAGAAACATTACCAATAACCAGCTATAGAAAAAGAAGGCATTTCTTTTCACGTAGCCGAGTGCTTTGGACTAGAACGTGCACCGATGTTGTATTGCCTCTGTGTTCTTGTTTTGTAGATAATTTGACTTGAAACTAGCCCTGCACCTGCTGGGTGTTAACAAGATGTAGGCTGCAGAGAGAGACGGATGTGAGTGAGGTCCAGGGATGGAGGGAGAGCCGCAGAGTGATGAGAAGATTCTAGTTCTATAATGGGAGTTACCTTTACTCAAGCTTTTTCAGCCATGTCACAAGACTTGAGAAAAGAAGAAATGGCTTCAAAGTCAAGAGAAAAAATACTGAAGATCTCTACTTTACATCCAAATTTTTAAAAATAAAGTCTGTAGATTGATCTGATCATTGTGAATATCAAGCTGGTTTTTTGGTTTTGTTTTTATTTTTTAATTTATTTACTTCCTGTAGGTATCCAAAACCACACTCACGGCAGTTGAGTTGATGCTGACTCATAGTGACCCTATACGACAGACTGTAACACTTTATTGGAGTAGAAAGCCCCATCTTTCTCCCAAGGAGCAGCTGGTGGTGTTGAACTTCAGGCCCTACAGTTAACAGCCCAGCAGGTAACTGCTCCACCACCAGGGCTCCTCTCCTACAGGTATGCTGGCACCCGCACCCAGGCATTTGAGCTCTCCAAGATGGGCTCGGGGAACATCAAGTAGTTGCAGTGCTATGTCAGAGCATGATTAAGCAGTGGGCACCTTTTCAGTGGGAGCATTGAGTGCATCTTAAAGCCTGAGCAACTTCGATCATTACAGAGGGCTGCTCCTCCACTGGGGTGGCTAGCCCAGGCGAGAAGTGAACGGGCCACACGGGGACATTCCTGGTCTCAGAGTCAGAGGGTGCTTCATTGTACAGGTGAGTTTGTTTGCTGTCTGAAGTAGTTGAAGATACACGTTGGGCTTAAAATTACAGGGAACTAAAGAGCAGGCCATTTTAAAAGGATCAAGTCTAAGTAAATGTTGAAATACAAAGACACAGCCTCTCTGTAGCCAGACCCCAGGTCCCTCCCTGGGACCAGCATTGGCAGCCTTCCTGAAACCTATTTGCTTCACTCCTTTGGGGAAGTAATTTTAGAGAAGTTAAAATTCTCTAAAACAGTTTTTTTATTTCCGACTCATAAAGGCCTTTGCTGTCTGCAAACCCAAAAAGAGGGGTGAGGCAAAAACCTTAAAAATACTATTTGGTTTGGTTATCTTTATAAGTGGCAATTTGATTCTAGCACATTTGTACCTGACATCATCTCCCGTAAGCCACTTTGGTTTTTTTCCTGAGATGAAGGTACACTGAAAATCACGTTAGCATCATAGATTCAAGCCAGGTGACAGCAATCTCCTACAATGACAAATAATAAAAATTCTGCCCAAAGCACCAAAATAGGTTATGAAGCTTCCAAATAACTATAGGCCTAGGAAAACTTTGTTTTAATTAAAAATACTTCATCATTCATCTTCTATGATACTGGCAGGAAAAGTCATTCAGACTCTGACTCTGTATTGTGCCCCAAGTCTGAGATCCTGGCCGCTGTCACTCCTTTTCGACATTTCACTGTCAGCAGTTAAAACCGTATGGCTTTTTGGCCTACTCAAAAAGGGGGTGGGGAGAAGGGGGCTCCTTACTTTCCCTGGGATTGGGGGGTGGGGGTAATTTCCTGACGAGGTTTAATTCTGCATTGTTTTCCATATCTAAGTTAGGCACATCAGACCAGAATTCAATTGCTGGGATTTCAGCACTATATCCTGACAGAAGCTGCCTCAAGCTTCCACTAGTGACGTGAAGGGGGGAAGCGTCGGATGTGGGGGTGGAAACACATCACAGGGGCCTGTTGTGGAATTTCAGTAGTGAAATCGCCAACACTTGCTTTTCGATCGAAACACTGTACTTTTGAGCTTTTCGAGACCTATTTACATGTGGGATTGAGCCTTCGTGGATTCGTGATGAAGCACACGCATGGTTCGGGAATGCCTGTCTTGTTTCTACTCTGATAATGGTGTTTCTCGGGGGGAGAGCTAGCTACCCTACTTGAACGGAAAAGAAGTTATATTTTATAGTTCCAGGGATGAGCTGAGGATGGGGTCTCATTACTCTTTCTGAGCTTCATCAGGTTCTCACCGGATCCTTTCCAACTATTGTGCCTCCATGGCAGAAAGCTTCTCAACATCCTATTTCTCCTCCCACTTCGGATAAGTGAGCACAGGCTAGTGCCCGTTCTGTGGGAAAGCTCCCGAGCCGAGAGGCAGGAAGAGAACTTGGCATTCAACCTGAATCCGTGCCGCTGCTTTGAGTAATGGTGCCGTAAGCGAGACAATCTAGAAACTCTCTTTCCCAGGGATTTGAACTGTTCGTTTTCCGACCTAGAACAGACAGCAGGAGACGAGCTCTCCATTCTGCATGTCTGCTGCCCTGTGGCGCCCACGTTAAACGAAGTGGGAAGCTCTCCAGCGCCACTCCATTGAGGCAGTGATGATTGGACTGACATTTCCTCCATCATTAGCTCATTAACAAGATTGGCTTTCTTTGGTGCGCCAGGACCAAGCATCTCAACTGGTGGCAAGAACTGGGCACCATGAGATTTGCTTGTTTCTATCTGGGTGAGATCTAGGTAGCCCGGGTCTTCCAGCACGTTGACTTGGGACCCAGGGCTCAGGCTAGTTCTATCAGTGAATGAACCCACGCGCCCGTCATAGCCTAGATCGGCAGGGGCTGAGCACTGGTGCTGAGGCCAAGGGCGTTTGCACTCTCCATGATTCTCCTTATCATCCCCACCATCTTCTTGCCCTCCTTGAAAGGAGTTCTCTGTCCAATCTGACTCCTCACTAACATTTACAGCTTTGTTTATGTCCCTCAGGAACACCACAATGACAGTGATGTTATCACTTGACCCAGCATCACGAGCGGATGCCACTAATTTATGGGCCACCATGCTGCTGTCTCCGTTGTTCTCCTTCAAGTGGTCGGACACAACTTTGACTGCCTCGTCAGGGTTCACGGTGTCGTAGAAGCCATCGCAGGCCAGAATGAGGTAGTCTTCAGTCCCATCCAACACCGTTGAGGCAGAATCTGCATCCCCACAGATGTATGGCTTATGCTCAGCATCTCCTGTGTGAATGAGAAAGGAGGGAGACCACTGGTTAAATCTTTGGTTTACAGTTAATGTCATGACTGGTCACATGTTGCTCGAAATTTACTGGAATGTTGTAATACACTAGTCTTACACCAAGTACTTGAATCCCCTGTTAATTGGAGGCGGCCTCCTCCTTACTCCCGAACAGCAGTCACTGGACGCAACACTCACCTCGCGTGGGCTCTGAGTCCTGTGTCTGCAGCCCTGCCTCTAGGCCTCGCTGAGCGGGGCAGCAAGCCGTGGCAACTATCAATGTGTTGTGTGCTGAAGGCGAGGCTTGACCTAATTGAGGTTGGACGACAAGTTCTCACTGGGAAAAGCCCAAAGTTCTGATCATTCTCCTCATTAAACTCATTATTGTTTTTCCTCTTTCACAATCAGTAGCTTCATGCTGTAAACTTTGTAGAAGTCCTGAGTTCCAAGGGACTTTCAAAAGAAAGGTCAGTTCCAACTCTTTCAAGCCAGGAGTATTCCACAAGGTCTCCCGCCAGGGACCCAGAAGGCAGGTCTCCTGGTCCTCCGTGCAGTGCAGGTGCTTTCTGCTTTTGAACACTGCTTTAGTTGTCACTCCTAGAGGCCCTGTGCTCCTCTTCAAGGACGATCTCTCTCGCTCTCGCTCTCGCTCTCTCTCGTTTCTGATCACCTCCACTCTCTTCTCTATTTATTCCTGTTGTTTCTTCCCTTGCTAATAATTAACTGGGAGAACCCTGAAGGACTTCGGGACTTTGATCTCTTTCCTGGCTTAGCGCATCCACTCAGACTGACACTTGATAGAAGCCTTGAAGGATTAGTTATTGGAGCAAAGAAGAGCAAGCCCTCACTGGCGGGAACAACAAGCAAAGACGCGGGTGAAAGAACAGTGTGTGGAGAGATGCGGCTGGAAGGGGAGGGTGCTCGGTGCAGAAGGGAGCTGGAGACTGGGCCCACACCAGGCCAGGCTTCTGTCACCAGAATATTGAGAAAATGGACCCACGGCCATTATTTGAAGCATATTCAGATCCAGAGCACTTCCAGATCTTTGGGGTGTGGTTTTCTTCACACCAGTATTTGGAGAGAGGCTAGCAAAGGGATCCTTAGCCTGTGGAGAGTAACCAATCAGTTCATGCCCAGAAGGAAATACCCATTCACTTTACAGCAAAACCGGTATACTGAGATTAGGGTATCAGAATTCACTGGCCAACGACGGAGGGAGGGAGGGAGGGAGAGAGAGTGGTGGGGAATCAAATATCTATGAAGTGCTTTATCATTTGTAAAATAATGGCATGTAGCCTAGTAGTTAAGGGCACTAGCACAGCTCTCTGATGGCTGGGTCCAAAGCCCAGCTCCCTCATTTGCTACCTGTATAGGCTTCGTCAGTGCAGATAAATGTACTTACTGAGAGGAAATTCGGCTATCTGGTATAGGCTCTGTCCTACCCAGAAAGGTTTCTCTTCAACATTTTGCATCCCTGTCTAAATCTCAAAATGGATAGTTCTACCAGCACCAAGGTGGGCCCCAAACCTATCCAGGAAGTTATTGGGGCACCTGGAACCTCAGATGATTATTTTACTATAATTGTTTTATCTGTCAGGTAAGAAACTTAGTCTTTGGTCCTGTAAATTCCCAGCTTCTCCCCTTCCGTCTCCGAACCTGTAGCCCCTGGTCTTACCCTAGGCCCGTCGTTTCCTCCAGCAGCCCGCCCATCCTCCTCAAGCCTGGTTTGGATGCCGTGTCCCCCATTGATCCATGTTGCTAAATTTCCCTATCCCCTACTCTACCTGACTATATTATTATCTTCATTATTATTTTCTGAATTCTAGCTCTAAAAATAAATGTGATCTGAGTCATCCTGTTCCCAAAAATCTTGTTTTAGTGCTTCAATTAAAAGACTACTGCAACTGTTAGTTTGGAACAGAACATACAAAGATCTGCACAGAGAAAATGCTGCCAAAATTCTGGCTTTTCACCTGCTCTTCTGTTGGGTGTCAAATTCATGACATTTCGCCCCCAAGTTTGGTAGGAGGGCATGAATATACATTGCATGATAGAAACGGCAGCATCCTTTTGTCTTCGTCCTCCTTTCTCCATATGCTGGAGACATAATGTGCCGCTGTCGATTGGGGGTCAGGAATCTGGAGGCTCATGGGAAGGAGCCATTGAAAAGCTTTTCCTTTGAAAGCTCCAAGTGCCATTCATTTCCTAGGTAGGACTGAACCGTGGAACTGTGGATAATAAGCAATGGGCTGCTAACCACAAGGCTGGTGGTTCAAATCCACCAATCCAGACAGCGGGGCTGTCTGCTCGCATCGAATATGACAGCCGCAGTCACTATGAATCCGAAGCTACTCGATGGCAAGGGGCTTATTTGGAGAATAAGATACTCTCGAATCCCACCGATGGTTTCGTCATTTTAATATCCCATGTCATTTTTTCAGCCCATATTGTGGCCTTTGTGGCACTTTGCTGCCCTGAGACCCTTCTTACCCTATGCCACCCTGCTTCTATGCCCAGTCACCTCTGGTTTCCTTCGCTGGCCCCTCCACTTACCGAGACGTTTCACTGAACTTACTCGTCCTCCTGTCTCTCCTTCAGACTTCTTTCTCGCACCTGCCTCTTTCATTTTCCAGCCACACAGATTAGAAGCCTGCAAGTTAGCTTTCCTCGACTCCCACAGCCGGTCCATTTCTGTCTTGGACCTGTACACCTACCCTCTTATTAGCCTGTAATGATGCGGTCGTCTTTACAGAAGAGGTTCACCAGGTCTTGCTTCCACCTGTACTTACTAGGGTTTCCCAATCTCGTACTGACCCTTTCCATTTCTCACCCCTTCCACCCTCTGCTCTTTCTGAGCTGTCCTGTGTCTGTTCATCCCCCCGCCCCCGCCAGGGGCCTGCACACCCCTCTGCCTGGGCTCCCACCCAGAAGCCCATCCTTCACACCCAACTCCGTCCCTGTCTCTGGCACCTCTGTTGGCTCCTCACGTCCTCAAGGACAGCCTCCCTTGCTGTCAGTTTGCCTTGCCGGTGCTATATTTTTAGACACAAGAAAATGGGAAGCACTCTCTAGTAAGTAGGTTCTATAACTAGTATTACAGACTCTTCTCAACACACCGACAGAGACTCCAGGTGAGGTCAAGAGGAAGGGGGCTTGGGTGTTCTGACTCTATCTATGGGTGGATTTTAGAAGTGAGAAAGTCCCTTTAAGGTCGACTCCAAAGTTCCTGATAACTCCCCAGTGCAAGGGAAAGCCAACACTTAAATTTCAGGAGGTATATGTAGAACCTTGGGAGAATCTGTTTTTCCTTCAGCCTTCTGCTGCTCAGGTTCGGGCCACTTCACAGCTTGCCTGCACCTCCCCAACGAGGGGGAGGCACTCCAATCGGTGGTGAAATGAAATCAATCTTCTTATGATTTTGTTCATGTTCTGGAATTGGGGGGCAATAATAAATTACACGTGGCAACCAGAGCGAGTCCTGATTGTCCATGCTTTCCCTGTATCCAGTCACCTCATCTCTATCGGAAGGCAGCAGATATGCATATCACCCATATTGACACACATACTGATTCATCCTTTTAGAAGATCCAGGAAGTGAAGCTAAGCCACGAAACCCAGATAATAATAAACCCAGCATCCTAAGGGAGACAAAACACAAACTGAGAATCCAGAGCCTTTCATAAGTCCTATCAACTTGGCACTTTGTTGTTTTTAAGCAGTTCCATTGGCCTGCCCGGTCCTTTGCGGGGCTTCGGTCCCGGGGAAGACAGGTTCTGGGAAACTCCAGGGTTATCTGGCAAGTAACTGGTGGCTGGGTGCTGCACCCTTGATTCTGACCCACAGCGCCCTCACGCGGCAGAGCAGAACTGACTCAGGGTTTGCCAGGCTGTCACCTTGCAGAAGCAGATCACCAGGTGTCTGCCACAGAGCCCTGGGGCTCCGCCTGCTATCCCTGGGTCAGCAGTCAAGTGCTCAACCATTGCACCACCAGGCTACTTAATTGTATTTTACAGACAGAAAATCGTGTACTTTTTTTCTATTCATTTACTCTGTATTTATCTTTCTAACATGCATTTTAAAAGCTGAAAGGTATTAAAAGCAAACACTGCCATCAAGTCAATAGCAACTCCACAGCGACCCTCTGAGACAGCAGAACTGCCCCCACTCGTGAGTTTCTGAGACGGCAACTCTTCTCTTCGCGGGAATGGAAAGGCTCCTCTTTCAAGGCATAAGCAAGGTAAAATAGGTGAAGAGCCTTCCATTCTCTGGAAGTTTCTGATTAAGCTAATCAAGACCCAAAATGGAGTGAAAGAGACTCACTGTGCATTTAAGCAGTTTGTGTAGCAAAGATCAAAGGCTTCAATGACTGGTGAGTGCAATTCACCTGCTCGAGCCTTTTGGTTAGAGGAGGTTGGCTGCTCTGTCCACGCAGAGGAAAAGCTTGGTGGGTCCCAATCCCCCGCCCCTCCCCCCAGCCTAAACCATCGAGAACCCTGCGAAGCACAGTTCTCCGCCGACACTCGGGGGTCACCATGAGCTCAGAATCGGATTGATGGCAACTGCTGCTCATTTCCAAATTGCCAAGTTAGTCAAAGCCAGGTGAGTTCGATCAAAGCATTGTTTTTTAAAATAATAATCGTAAGCACTCTGCTCATGTGTGTGATCTTCGTAGGTGCCTTGTATTGGCATTAAGGTAGTGCGCTCGAAACGGACAGCGGGAGCAACAGAAATGTCCTACCAATGGCTCTGGACACCGACAGGCTTCCGTTCACCCTCCAGGCACCGAACCAGACCACACAGCCGCCCAGGGCCTCGATGCGCTGCTTTTCATCCTACATGGCAGTGCAAGAAAAAGAAGCGTGTCACTGGAATCGGTTTATTCATCTGCCTGTCAGCAGAGTCGCGTCAGTACGCTACAGCTTCCCAGCAAGGTTCTGTTTCCTCCGGCCGCGGCCGCTGCTGGAGGACGCCGTCACTGTCACAGCCGAGTGAACCCTAACAGAGGAGCACACCGCCTCTGCGCACGCCCCGCAGGAGAGGCCGCACTTACCTCTCTGTCGGGCTTGTGCGGCTTCATGAGTTCAACGGCTTGGCCCTTCCTCACAAGCATCACCTGCGAGTCGCCCACCCAGGCCACGTGCAGCATGTTGCCTCTGATAAAGGTCACCACGCCTGTGGTCCCACATCTTAAGCTCTGAAAATAGTCCAGATAGAACTGCCATTAGTGACGATAAACAGCCACGACGTTCTCATTTAATGGCAATGTGTAGTTAATCAAAACCCTGCCATTGGGAACTGGACAATTAGTGATGCAGTTTCACAAGCGGCAGTCATGTTAATGCATTTTCATGCGCATGCGTGTTTTTATGTGAACAATACACCATCCACCTGATCCATAAGGTATTGGAGGCAGGGAAGATGGTTAACAACATTTGACATTCAGGTAGGTATCACAGGTCAGGTGATTGGCACATTAAACAGAACTACAGTTATTATTCCTGACTCCAATGCTCAGTCCACTGTCATTCCGTAAACATGCCTGTGTTCTGGTCTCTGTTTTGTTACTGACCCAACTGTGGGGTGGGGGAAGGCCGTGCTTTACAAATCAATACAATAAAAAGCATCTGATTGATACAGACCAAGAGCTCCGATGCCCTGGCTGTTGAGAGCTCAGGGGTGACATGCATTCATTCCCTGGAGGGCTGTGATACTCACGCCTTTTTAGAAAAAGGCCTCCCCACAAGATTTTTAAAAGTCTTCGCTCTTTGGACATTGCACAGAGGACTAACAGCCTGGAGCTATTTCAGCACAATAGTTCAGTACCTCTGCACTTCAGCTCTGGATACTTCTCTGCTAGCTGTACTGAAAGGACATCTCCATCTGACATGAGTCACCACCAAATGATCATGACTTTCTGTTACTAAGGACCTGGCCTAAATTAGAACCAATGCGTCAAGGGTGGTAAAAGGCCCCCAGTGAGAAAAACAACTTCTCATTTTCCCTATATGGGGAAAGTTTGTTATAAATCCTCACCCACCAATAAAACGTCTTCCCACACAGAACATTCAAAACCGCAGCCCCTGGAATACATGATAAAGACACTTCAGTGCATATGCCCTGGAGAGAACAGGAGGCAGGGCCGCTTCACAACAGGAATAGCTCCTTGCTTCCCAGCAATTGGCAGCCCAAGGAGGAGCAAAGTAAGTGCTGAGACCAAGCCAGATGACTGAAGACTGTCAAGAAGGACTGAGCCACACCAGGATCCATAATCATCATGAAAGCCAAGACTGTGAGCACACAGAAGGTGAAGAAGACCATGTAGCTCTTAATCTGCGTGCCTGGTCCTCATAAGGCTGCGAGCCAGCCTCTAGAAACTCGGAGGTCCAAGATGGACTTGTCCGTCGGCCCCACCCCTTGGTGCGGACCTGAGAGGTCACTGTCATTGGATTTGCATCCTTCTCCAAACTGGGAACCCCAAAGGGAAAAGGAGAGAGAGATGATGACCCTTGCTCCATTCCAGATAGTTCTGGGTATTTGTTTCCTTCATCCCAAGGCCCACCATTGCTTTACAGCACAGCTGTGAGATCAAGTAAATAGATTAAATGATGACCTTCTTCAGAAGGCAGGAATCTTATTTTCTCTAGGTCTATAACATTCTATAATTACTTTAAGGGCTTATTTTGGTCTTTTTATTGGTCCCTAGTTAAAAATCCAATATACAGTTAGTAATTAATTATATATCAGTACCCAGAATGACTAATTAAATCAAAATCTTCGAGACCTATGTCATTCTCTCAGAGTAGGAAACGTGGCTTTGATTAACCTTAGCAGTGTTAACGAACTAGCTCCGGCTTCTCTGCCTATTAGAGAGAACATCAGATCAGGGATCATCGAGAGCCATCCTCCCCAATTATGTTTCCCCTCAAGATGCCAAACAAAGCCCTGCCTCCCACCAAGAGCCAGGTGGAGGAGTGAGCCTGGCTTCCCCTTCCTTCTGAGACCTTTGTTTTAACCACATAGCCAGAGCTTGTCAGCAAGGCAGCTGAGAGAAAGGGCCCTCGTCTGAAGCTGACAGGCAGTGCTGGGTAAGAAAGAGTTCACCTGTCAAATCCAACAAAGGAGCTTTCCTAGAAAACGGTGAGCTCTTGAGAATTTCTAGACAGGACAGCCTAGTGCTCCTGCGAAACTTGTTCCTGAAAAGAGAATTGGACTTCACAACAGGATCCAATCCCGTGGTCAATAACGCAATTTGGATGGGAACTTCATGGAATTCCTGCCCAACCCAAACAAGACTCACTGCCATCGAGGCGATGTCAACTCATGGCAACCCTATATATGAGACAGGGTAGAACTGTCCCTGTGGGTTTCTGAGACTGGAACTCTTTACGGGAGTAGAAAGCCTCATCTTTCTCCTGCAGAACGGCTGGAGGGTTTGAACTGCCGACCTTGAGAGTAGCAGCCCAACAAGAAACCACTATGCCACCAGGGGTACTGGTGAATGAATACCTGCTCAGAAAGAGAAAACCCAAAAAGCCCATTAAACACAGACCAACTTCAGCTAGGCTCGTGCATTCCTGAGATGCATGAAATGAATGGGAACCCGGGAACAGCGAGTACAAGGCATACCTCCCTAGCTGCTTTCTGCACAAAGCGCTCATCAGTGACCCTGAAGGCCCGGCACAGGGCCTCGGCAGGATCATGGGGAAACATCTCCTGCCGGACTAAGTTAACGTGGAGATGAATGGAGGCGTAAATGGCTGCATCCACTCCACCGTGGCCATCAAACACGGCAAAGTAGGCTTGTTCCTCCTGGTCCTGTCAACAGAAGCACAGCCAACAGTTAATGGAGTTAGGACAAGCTTGATTCAAATGAGCCCCGCCCCTGGAAACACTGTACCCCCTCTCTGCTCCTCCGCTGCATGTGCTGCCCAGATGATGAGACGCCTGTTTCCCTTTTCTGACTCCCTGATCAATTGCTGAAATACCTGCGGCACTAGGGCACCTGTGTTTACATACCAGAAGAGTGGAACACACATGTCCAATAAGCTCAGGCTGAAGAGCCCCTTCTGGGTCAAACTTGCCCTGTGCCGTGGAAACCATCCACAATATTTGCTTCAAAATGGCTGGTGCAGGTGGTGGGGGAAGGGGAGGAAAGGCGGTCTGAGGAGGAATTGGGCAGAACTGTTAGGGATTGAGGGCTTGTTTCAAAATGCAAGTGCTTTAACCATAAAATCAGGACCAGAGAACAAAAAGAAATAGAATGCCTCCCAGCACCCGGCCAATGACGTATGGAAAATGCATCATCGAAAGCATGCACATAGGGGGACTTCTGAATCCTAACCCGTCCCTCCAAAACCGTTCCTGTCAGTCACACTGAATTCTCACCATATACAGCAATTCAATGGTCACACTAAGTTCTCCCCAGAAGTAGTCTAGTTAGCCAAACCGGAGCCACACGCGATGCCCAAATGCCCTGAGCGGTGGACAATTTGTCTCACTCCGTGATCTAAGATGAACTTCACACTTCCTGGCCCACCCACTCCCTGAAGTTCAAAGCCTGTGGGGTCTTCCAAGCCTGTGCTCGGTCTCTACAAAGGAGTCCGAATCATAAAAGTCACATCTACGCATCAAGTAGTTTGCGTCTTCATCAAGTGTCTGTCTATCAGGTGTCCCTCACTCAGGAGCCGGGTGACGCACTGGTCGCTCACTGGCTCTGGGCTCCTGGTGGGCCACAGTGCGTAACGCTTTTATTTGCAAGTCATCATTTATTTTTACTTGGGCTCAAGGAGCCCCGGGGAAGTTCAGACCCTGTTATTGATTCTTCAACAAATCCTCTGATTTTCCTGCATTTGTTTTCTCCCCTGTCGGGTAGGAATGAGGTGCGTCTCCCAGGGACTACTAAGAAACAGATATATCTATGCTTTGAAACAATTCTTTTACCAGACAGTGCTACATTTGCACAATGATCAAGTCGACATGTCCAGGGAGTAATGATGTTGCGACTGCCTGTTGTTAGGTACGGTCGAGGTGGTGAGTGGCCCCGTCTCTGCCCAGAACGAAGCACTGCCTGGGCCCCGGCCATCTTCACAGTGGCTGCCGGGTCTGAGCCCAGAGTTTGCAGCTAACGCGTCCATTGACATCTTCGTTTTTGCTGCCTTTCTAGTTCCCTAGGTGGAATGAAGTCCATGCCTGATGCAAACATCGCTGGTGCACAGTGGTTAGGGTTTGGTTGGTGGTTCAAGTTCACCCGGATAGACCTGACGCTCTGTGCCCCTAACACTTACAGCCTGGAGCACTCAGGGCCCAGTGCTCCCCTGGCACACGGGTCACCGTGAGTCAAAACCGGCTCCAAGGCACCGACAGCGACCACGCTGAATAACAGGCATTGACGAGTTGATTTTGCGCTTTAGCCAACACCACCTGTCAAGGCCACTGGAGACGAAGTGGTTGAACAGAACTGACGCGTGACCAGGAATGTCCTGCTACGTGGGAATTCCAGTGAAGCAGCACTGGCTTTGTAGCAACTTTGTTGCACAAAGCGAGGGTGAAAATGGAAAGGTGGCATCAGATCCCGAGCACTTTAAAATAATGAGTGAGTTGATATGGGATCACCTCAAATGGGGGTTAGGGGGGTGAGTTAAGGGGAAGGCGGGGACAATCAGCTCTAAGGGGCAAGAAAATGTGACTTTCAACAAGATTGGCGGGGAGAGTTTGTCTTAGACAATAGAGCACCAGACAAAGCAAAAGGGGTTGCTATAACTTTGTGTTAAAAAATAATATCAATGATTTGTTTGTACTGGTAAGTTATTTCAAGATAATTTAGATTTATTTGGACTAGTGGAATAGTGTAAGGAAGGAAATAAATACCACCTAGAATCCCACCATCCACAGATAATCAGGACCATCCTGTCTATGAAATGCTATGTCCTGCTTTTTTGTCAGTTACTATATCATTAGCATTTTCCCATGTTATGACTATTCAGACACTGTTTTTTAAACATTTAATATACATCTTATGATTGTATCAGCCTTACCAGTCCCTGTATGTAATGATTTAAACCAGTATTTATCATAATGTGTAAAATACTTGTCTAACAAAACATGTGAGAGCTTTCTGTATTCCTCTCTCTTATCATAAAGAATTCTAAGCTCAATTGCCAGATCAGAGGGTAGGAAATTTTATAAAATGTAAAGACGAGTTGTAACAAATGGCCCTCAAAGCCTGTTTCACGATACCGAGATGCTCCTGTGTTGCACTTTTGGGCGTATTTCGACCCAAAGAGGTAAAATGATAACTCAGCAAGTCAGTCAACAACAATAGTGAGTAAAATCTTCAAGTGATTGTGGTGAGAACCAGGATTGTTATCACACAATAGCCTTTGGGGTCCCACTTACATGGGCCCGGTAGCCTTTGGAAACAGTGCTATCAGTGGATCTAGTTTTAGAACTTATGCACCAATTACCAACGTGGCAGCAACACCCGGATTGGGCTGTGACAGCTAAACTTTAAATTCAGCAGCTCCATGAAAGAAATGTGGTGCTTTGTACAAACTACTCTGCTGTAATTTTTAAGTTATGGACGTGCGTGAAGAAAAGAGGTGAGTGACGGGACGGAAACAAACCTGCCTCTGTTTGCATTAGCATAATACATTTAATAGAGTCAAGAAAGATAACAAGAAAATGGTTATTAAGCTGACAAGGCTCATGTGGGTCCAATTTGTCAGTCAGAGCGAGTCATGAAATGTAATAGCAGCTGCTCTCCTATCTCAGAGATGGAGAGCGGAAGAGGAACATCACAGAAAGCAGCTAGCTGAGCGGCAAACTCACCCTTTTATGTTGGTGCCCTGGCTTGCGTCAGTAACGGGAATGTGGGACCGTCATAAACCCCATTGGGTTATTCTACAGAGATAGATTCCTCTAAAGAACACTAGCTTTAATTGAGATATAGTTTCCTTTTTTTGTTTATTTTATAGAACAGCTCTGGAAGGTTATACAAGAAACTAATAATTTTCCTTGGCTTCATTTGGAGACCAGGATCAGAAAACTCAAACTCAGTGCCATCGAGTCCTGTCCAGCTGATGGTGAGCCTATCGGACAGGGCGGACCGGCTGTGACTTTCTGAGCCTGGAAGCATGGGCAGGAGTAGAAAGCCTTGTCTTTGCTCAGCAGAGCGGCTGCTGGTTTCGAGCCACTGACCTTGCAGCACGGTGCCACCAGGACTCCTGGCGACAAGAATGGGAGAGAGGTCTTGTGGTGCTATGGGGGCTCTTTTCTCCCCAATTTTGAACCGCATGAATGCACTGCCTATTCAAAAAAACATACCACATAAATACTCCGTTTCTGCTGTCTCATGTATGCAGATGTGTGCCACTTGGCTGTTAGGCTTACTCTAAAGTTCCGTGTAGTAAACCAACCAGAGATACTGTTGGAAATACTCGAGTTCTACTCTTCCAGCAGGACCAGGGAGGGCTCCGTTTTGTCTAGGAAACTCACTGACCCTCCGGGCATGCCTCTTACCTCGAGGTTGAAGAGCATGTTAAAGTCGGGAATGCAGACGTGTTTGTCCTCCATCTTCCTGCGCATGTTTTTGATGGCATGGATCGATGTCTCATAATAGAGCCGGGGCCTCCTGTGCAGAGGGAAGTCTCTCACCCAGCTGCAGCAGAGATCATGCAGTTTGCTGAAGACAGAGCGGGCCAATTTCACCGTCTCAATCTCTGTGAAGGAAACACAGGACCCCCATGAACAGCCTTGAAAACTGTGTTTCACTTGCTGGTGTGCTAACGATAGAAGTAGGTCACCTTCGGCAAACTCATCTTTAATGGAAGAAATGCATCGTGCTCGAGACATGAAAACGCTGCTTCTGCAGAGAGAAAATGACAGCCAGTCTAGTGGAGAAACGTGTGTTGGCGCCTGCACTAAGATAACCTGTGTCCTGAGGAGGAAACCTCAGGGCTGGATCCATTCCTAGGCTTGATTGCTCCCGTCCCAGGAAGATGCTGCTCTGGCCACTGGTACATGCTCAGAGCTCAGATTCCAGGGTGGGGTGGGTAGGCACCGTTATCAGTGGAGGGCAAAGCCTCCTGCATTGAGGAGAACACCTGGCTAGGAGGAAGATGGGAGGCCTATGAAAACAGGTCATTTACAAACTACAGGAAGAAGCAGCATTTACCTTGATGACCATTTGTCTCTGCCTCTTCCTGGCTTCTACCTTTACCTCCAGCTCCCTAATGCTTCTCTCACCTCTAGCTGATCCTCATTTGGAGCTGAACTGAATATGTTTTGTAAATGAATGCATTTGTTTATTAAAGCTTGACGCTACTGGTCAGCATCAAAGGACAAAAAAATAAAATTTCTCTCTGTATGTGACCTTGAGTAGAAAAAAGGAGATCTCACAGGACGGGTGACATGACTAGCGTTCTTTACCCTAGACTCTGTAAGCAGAGCAGTAGCCTATTTGTGAGGCTGACCTGCATTCCCAAGCTGGGTGGATTTACACAGGTCACAGGAGGACTGGAAAGGTATTGAAGAGAAGACAGTACCTTACATCATTCAGCGCCCCCACTCAAGTTGCAGGTATGAAAAACCAAAGGGAGATGAGGTTTTCTCAGACCAGTGTTATAGAAGGTCTCCTATGTAAAAAGACAGAACCTACACCCACCCACACACACACCCTGAAAGAAGAGTTTTTCCTTATACTGAATGAGATTGAACCTGACAGCCTGAAGAAATGTCTGCCAGATGGGCCATCGCTGCACATCCCTCCCCCAATCCAGCATGCAAATCCCAAAGAAGAGACAGTGTTCTAGAACAGCCTAGGAACTTGGATTCCCATTTTCTGTTTTAGTCCCAGATATGCCTTTGCCTCTCTCTGTGACTAGTACATTTACCCGTTTTCTTAGTCAGCATTCTAGGAGAAATGATTCCATTCAGAGAGCTGACCACACATACACACACACACACTAATCAGAATGATAATAAACTTTGCTTGATGGCTTCCTGTACCTTAACATTTTTGTATGACTTGAGAACCCAGGGTACACTTGGAAAAGAAAAAAGTTCACAGAGCCAATGCAGCCTGAGGTGGAGTGTAACTGAGGCAAACAGGCCAATAGCCAACTCAACATTGCATTTTGAGCAGCTCTGGGTTTTTAAAAAGTCCAGTTGCCAGAACCTCCTACTTTCTGCCTGAGTCTCTCTCTCATCTGACTTGTCTCTGCAGCAGCACCCCCAAAATGCAGACTCAGATGGCTGTGTCCTGCTCGGCAGTCACCACAGAGAACTGCAAGCTGGCCCTGCCAGCTCAGGACTTGAAGGGGGGCAGGCAGTAGATGAAACAAACAACTGATAGAGGCTGTCGGGATTATTCTCATATTCCCGAATTATAACTGAACTTTTCTATCATTCCTGTGTGTTGTTTTTATTATGATAGATGGACCCGCGCTGTCTAGTCAGGCAACCACTAGCCACATGCGACTATTGAGATGAAAACGAGTTAAAATTCGATGGCGTTTAAGGTGCCGTTCTTCGGTTGCATTAGCTGTAGGTCAAGTGCTCAATAACCACGTGTGACTTGTGGCGACCGTGCTGGGCAGCATTAGCTCTCCTGTGGGGCAGTGCTGGTCACTCTGACTTATGCATTGAATTGGGTGGGGCACAACTACTGCCTCTCTCCAGACCCTCTGCCAGTTGTTTCCTTTCTTCTCCGTCCCCCGCCCCCCCAGCCCCCGCACACTCTGTCCATGGCATCTACTCTAACTGGTGACCTTGATGGAGGAGCTTTTGCTGTGCTGTGGGAACTCCACACGGTCTTCATTTCTGGACTTTGAACTCGGAAGCCGTGCTCTTCGACTGCTGAGTTAGAACCGCAGACGCAGACTGTGCCCTAAGTGGCCTCGGCCAGTCACAGTACAGCACTTAGCACATAGCAGGGGCTCACTCAATGTTGGTTGATCAAATCAGCAAAAGGATATATAAATCAATCACCCAAATATTCAAATACGTCGATGCTTCTTGATCCTTAATTCTGTTCCACGAGTCTTTCCGCCGATTCCTACAATGGCATCATTAGCTACAAATCACAGTAGCTTTATATTTTGTTTTAATATCAGCAGGACTCTTACTTTTTAAAAATGTTGCTTGTATACTTCACCACATGTACTCTTCCAGAGGAGCTTTACAGTCATTTTGCCAAGTTTGTTTTTGGCAGAGCTGTTGGCATTGTGTTTAGGATCACATTGAATTTATAGAACAATTTGGGGGGGACGACATCTTTTTCATATTGAATCTTATCCTGGATCAAGTTATATTGTTTCACTAATCGGAATCCTCTTGATATTGCTGGACACAACTTTCACATGGATCCTGCATATTCCTTCATCTCTGTGTTCCTAATTACTTTATTTTATTCACTTGCTGTTTTGAGTCAGAGCCTTGCTTTACTGTGTGTTTGCTACCTAGCACACATTTCTTCTTGTTCCAGTGACATTTCCTCTTGCCCATTCCACCCATGTGCAGGTAGGGATAGAACATGTGATTTGGACCCAGCCAGTTAGAAAGTCATATTTAGGGGTCATAGTGATTGGTTCAGTAATGGGAAATGATTCAAATTGAAACAATTAAAGTGAATCCTGGGACGTATGGATGAGCCAACTGAGAAAAGATACCTTTCCCCCCCTGCTGAACTTGAACCTGCGAAGAGGAAGGCCTGGCATCCAGAGCAACCATCTTACAACTGCACGGAGCCTGAAAATACATGTCAGGACCTGAGGAATCTAGTTATGTGTGACGTCACCCTAACCTTGGAGGTTCAATTCTCCTCTGTTAAAGCCAATGTGTGGTTTGGTCATTTCCAACAAAAAATTCCTGAGTGATAACAGTGAGAAGCCTTCATCATGACTACGGGTAAATGCTAGATTTCAATTTGAGCCCCATTTTTGTCCTACTGTTTAAGATGTATCCATATAATCCCATTTTAGGAATAGTGAAAAAATTCAGAGTGGACATTGAATGTTATCAAATGCCTTTTTGGCACAGTTAAAGATGACTGTTTTCTTTTGACCTATTAATATATATTATGCAAATGAAGTTCCCAAAATTTCTGTTTTATTCGCTGCTGCTTTCCCAGTACAGTGCTAAGCATATGGTAGGCCTTCAATACAATACTCATTGAATGAATTAACTGTTGTACTCTCTATATAAATATTTTACTTAAGATTTTAAAAATTGATTACTAATGCTGGTCTCATTTTCTTTTTCAGTTTTGTCTGAGGCAGGTTTTGGTACCAATATAATGCTATGCAAATTTTCCTTCTGTCTCTTTGCAATTGGGATATTCACTTTTAAACGTGGTATGATCTGCCTTTCACAGTTTAAAAATGTTCACCTGTGGAATCATGGCTGGGCGTAGGAGGTATCGATCTCCCTAGGGGAGACAAGTCCTTAACAGTTTTCTCAATCTCTTTCCTCTGTGGTAAACATTATTAATTTATCTTTCTGTAGAAAATATCCAGATATTTACAAATTGATTTGGACAAAGTTCTCAGAATCATTTCACTTCCTCTGCTAGGTGATTATTTCCTCCTCTTGAATCTTTTTCACATTTTGGGATATTTCAAATTGCTTTTAAGTTGTCTGGGCAGACGTTGTAACTGTTCAACTAAATTTTAACCAAGTCAGATGTCCAAGGTCACTTGTCAAGGTCACTGTTGGAGATGGCCAAAACATAAAATGAACTTTAAAACTACAGGGTTTTAAATAAAGAGCCTACTTTTGGAAACAACAAACTAGAAGGGCCAGTGGTGGGGACGCCAATGCCTTTAAGCAGTGGCACCAGCCTTATTCAGTATGTGCATTTCCCCACCTGATGTCTGGTAAACCCACTGTGCCCTGCAGAGACTTCACACCAAAGTGATTTCTGTTCAATTAATTAAGGGCTTTGAAAACGGTCTAGAATTATAGTGGGTCACTCTAAATCGCACTAATGGCCTAGAGACATTCAGCAATGTTCAGTGGTAAATACCTTGGGGGGAAAAGAAACAAACAAAAAAATCAGAAGGATCAGTGGTGCCCATCCAAAGAAAACTCTTCCCAACTAGGCATGTAGGGAAACATGTCAAACTTTGCTACACGAAATATTCTCCACCTACAGGGAAAGGTGTGGGGCATCTATACGCAAACTTGCTGCTTGAAATGAAGAAAAAAACACACAAAACAATAAAAAATGGGTGCAAGAAAGAAAATTGTCCAAAGTAGCAATCTACCCCCTCACAGCTGTAAATTACTCATCAGCTGTTACTGTGGCTGCGCTGAGCTGCGCTGAGTCAGCCTTCGCCGCGGCTGTGGTGAAGCATCACTTGGCCTCCCTCCTCTTTTCAGCATGGGGCTTCTACTCTAGAAACACACCAGAGGAAAGACCAGCGCCTCGTAGCAGGAATTCCATCCAATTTGACTCTGGAACAACTTGGTTCCGGGTGGATCAATTACTACCAATAAAAATCAGTGGAGGAATTCAGCCCTGGCCAATTTTCTGACAAAAACAAGCCTAAAGATAAAAGAAGAGCAGGCGTGTTTGCTTCGATCTCTTGCGCACATCTTTGGGAATCCAGCTCCTCTGATTCATTATGTACTTTAAAGGCAAATGCTTAAAATAGAATAAATAGCATGAACTATTAAAAATATTTAACAATTTTGAGTAGTAATTTCTTATTGGAAAATACATCAGCATTTCTTTCGAGCCGGTCAGATATGGGTAAGCCCAGTGCATTTGCAAATATGCCTTCGTTAATCAAGAGCCTCCTCGTCTGCCTGGGAGGAAAACCAGGAATGCAATGAAACCCTATGTTACACTCTGTCTTAGCTCTATTAACAGATAAAAACTTAATATCATTAACAACTTCAATCACAACTGATTTCTTGAATTTTCTTTTTTTTTAAACTGATTCTGTTTTATTTATTTATTTGTAATCACTTTATTAGGGGCTCATACAACTCTTATCACAGTCCATACCTACATCAATTATGTAAAGCACATTTGTACATTCATTGCCTGATTTGTTGAATTTTCATACGTGATTTTTCACTTGGATTCTTGATGGGTTTTCTTCACCCTCCCCTGCCCCCTCTCACCTGGTCATTTTTTTCTATTCTGCCTTCACATTCTCTACTTAGCTCTATTTATCCAGATAATATTTGGCCAACCTCCTGTTGCTCCAATTCCCTATACACTTGTCTGTTTTCCCTCTACTTCTCTCCACTTACTGATCTATGTAAAAAATATGGGCTTTCGCATCTCTTTTCCTCTTGCTACCACTATATAATCAACTGGTTGGGTAAATGCAATTCGATGTCGTATTTTGCAGACATTTTCTGTGGCTCGCTGACCATGAGATGATAATATTTTAAAACAAGTAACGTAGAGCAGCACTTGCCCACAGTTCCTTCTGTCCCATCCGTTTCCTTTGGTAGACAGTGCGCAGAAAGATCACTCTGAAGGACTTCATCGGATGTGGCTCTGGCTACAGCAGCAGCCAAAAAGGAAGGGCAATTACTGAAAGAAAAGAAAAAGGACACAATGTATTTAGCAATTTCTTATTAATTATTAATGTGTGGTCTCAAAACAAAATTACACCTTTACACAACATTCAGTGGAGATGTATCGAGTGCAGATGAAGGGTTCTGCCGAGCCCTGGGTACACATCGGTGAGTGGCACAGGCACGGCCCCTGACCTGATCTAGTTAGGAAGACGAATGATAACTAGACACACGCACTTAAAAGTGGGCTAAGTTTTGTAGAGGTAGAGAAACAGTGACAAAGAATAATTGGGTGGCCTGTGGAGTGCCCAATTAGATAGCATCGTAAGGAATGCCATATGAAGACTGATGAGTTGGGATGCTGGGAAAGATTATTCCAGGCAGAGAGAAACGCATGTGTACAGGCCAAGGACCAACCCTTGTGGAGAGCCTGGATGGTCCAGGGACTTGAGGAAGGCTGGAGGCGAGAAGCACGGTGAGTCGGGGCAAAGTGGCAGGGGGTGGGGTCAGAGGCGCCTTTAAGACCACGGTAAAGAATTTGAATTTCACTCACAGCACTGGAGGAAGTCACGGAAAGTTTTCAGTAAGAGTACCACCACCAGATACACTCAGATGACTTTAAGTACAACTGTGACTGCTATGTCAAAGAGAACAAGAATAGAGCAGGTTGACCGATGAAAAGATTACAATACAGGTGAGATTTAAATATAACTTTAAATTATTACATTAGATTTAAGTATATTTATGTATCATTAATATATAAATGTGTGTGTATATATATAATTGGAAAAAGAAAATATAGAACTTGCTGATGACTGGATGTAGAGGTGAGGGAAAGAAAAGGGTTAAGGATGAACCCTGGGCATTGAGTAGGGCAACCAGGTGAATGGTGAGACTATGGACCTGCATAGGCAAACCAAAACAGATTTATGGAGGAAGTGAGGTGAAGCAGCAGAAAAAAGAGCTCATTTTAACATGTTAAATTTGAGGTATCTGAGATATTCAGTAGGATATCTGTGGTGTCTCACTGCCCAAATCACCGCCATCCAGTCAACGCTGACTTATGGCCACCCTCAAGGAGAGAGTAGAATTGGCCCTGTGGGTTTCCAAGCCTGTCCATTTTTAAAGGAAGGAGAAAGCCTTATCTTTCCCTTACAGAGCGGCTGGTGTTTTGAACAGTGACCTTGAGATCCGCAGTGTAACTCTTATCCCATGACACTACTAGGACTCTTGTGGAGCTCAGAGGAGTCAGGAAATTGGGAAGGTTATACTATGCCTGGTCATTATATGTTGGCTAGTGGCGGGGAGGTGGGCAAATGATTTGTTTCTTCAGTTCACGTTTTCAGATCAAGAGGGACAATATTCAAGGATCTGTCCTCCAAAACTGTAACCCAAGGAATCTCATCTACACCCGGACCAGACCTCAATGAGATCCTGGATGATGCCATATTGGAATGGGACTTTAGGAGGGGTGGGGGCTGTCTCAAGGAGGGAGTAAATATATTTTACATGAAGGAAGGATGTGAACTGTATGCTCAGTGCTTGCTGCATATGTATGTGTATGTATGTATATATATATGTATGTATGTATGTATGTATGTATGTATGCCCTTTAAAAAAGTCACAGCAACATTTTTTTGGAACAATTTATTGTGGTTTGGGTGAAAGTTTACATTCAACAATTTATATACATTTTGATTCATGACATTAATGGTCATCCCCACAAAGCAACAACATTTGTCCCATGTCCTCCCTGATTTTCCCTTTAAAAAAAAATCATTTTATTGGGGGCTCATACAACTCTTATCACAATCCATACATACATCAATTGTGTAAAGCACATTTGTATATTCGTTGCCCTCATCATTCTCAAAACATTTTCTCTCCACTTAAGCCCTTGGCATCAGCTCCTCATTTTCCCCCCTCCCTCCATGTTCCCCCCTCCCTAATGAACCCTTGATAATTTATAAATTATTATTTTGTCATAGCTTACACTGTCCGGCGCCTCCCTTCACCCACTTTTCTGTTGTCCATCCCCCAGGGAGGAGGTTATATGTAGATCCCTGTAATCAGTTCCCCCTTTCTACCCCACCCTCCCAGTATTGCCACTCTCACCACTGGTCCTAAAGGAATCATCTGTCTTGCATTCCCTCTGTTTCCAGTTCCTATCTGTACCAGTGTACATGCTCTGGTCTAGCCAGATTTGTAAGGTAGACTTGGGATCATGATAGTGGGTGGAGGAAGCATTTAGGAACTAGAGGAAAGTTGTGTTTCATCGTTGCTAAGCTGCACCCTGACTGGCTTATCTCCTCACCGTGACCCTTCTTTTTGTAAGGGGATGTCCAGTGGCCTACAGATGGGCTTTGGGTCTCCACTCTGCACTCCCCCTCATTCACAATGATATGATTTTTTTTGTTCTTTGATGCCTGATACCTAATTCCATTGACACCTGGTGATCAGACAGGCTGGTGTGCTTCTTCCATGTGGGCTTTGTTGCATCCAAGCTACATGGCCACTTGTTTACCTTCAAGCCTTTAAGACCCCAGGCGCTTTATCTTTTGCTAGCTGAGCAGAGTTTCCCATTTCCACTTGTCCTTTCCTGCACCTTCCTGCCTTCTGAACTTTGTTTTGGGGCAAATGTTCTTCAGGTCTCCTTTGGTTGCCTCTTGTTTGGCTGAAAGATGTCCCCAGGGTGGCTTCAGTCCCAGTCCTTGAAGACTGTCCAAGGACTATACAGACTCAGAGGTTCCATTAGTTGTCATCAGGCCAGTAAGTCTGGCCTTTGTCATGATTTTAAATTTTGTTCTACATTTTTCTCCCACTATGTCTAGGACTTTCTATCGTGATTCCAGTGAGAGAGGTTGGTAGCCAATCATCATCTGCTTCTTCTAGTTTCAAGCCAATAGAAGCTGTAGTTCATGTGTTTCATTAGTCCTTGGTCTTCGAATTTCCTCATTTTTCATTGTTCCAGATGGAGAGAAAGCAGTAATTGCATTTTAGATGGCTGCTTGCAAGCTTTCAAGCCTTTAGTCACTAAAGGGAGATGTAGAACACTGTCTTTGTGGACCATGTTTTGCCAATCCACCTAGATGTCCCTCAAGACTATGGAACCAAGCCCCCAAATTCAGGGACTCAGTCCCTTAAGGAGTTTGATTATGGCTAACAAGTTTTTATGCCTTTGCCCCTGTATGTTCTACTGTATACTTGGATATATTTGCAACACACACACACACACACACAAATATATGTATATATATAGTAAAATCCTCTGCCAAACCTATATACACTTGGGATATACTCCCATATGCCATCCCACACCTCTTCAGCTTGTGTATCTACCTATGCATCCACTCATAAACTATTGTTTGTTATTACTATTATTGCAGGATGTGTGGGTGATCGTAGTGACCACTGTTGCCTTTTGCTCTGTCTCTCGGGACTCCAGCGTCTTCCTTTGCCTTGGTCATGTGGTGCTGCCATTCCCCTTATTGTAGATTGCTTTTCCCTTCGCTCAGATCTTCACAGGTCCCCTCTCTGGTCACTGATTTCCCTTCCTCCCTTCTCCCACCAACGATAATTTCTTTCTGTGTGCAAGCCTTTCCTTGACTTTTTATAAGAGTAGATCTCATATAACATTTGTCCTTTGAACATTTACTGTGAATTAGGTGGGGGCTTACATTTCAGATAACCATTTTTGTATGCCACAATTTAACTGACTTATCAAACCTTCTAATAGATTGCCCCATTCTTACCCAACACTGCCACCCCCACTTTTCCCCCTTTTTACTTCCTCTTGTCTTATATTATTTCCCCTTCCCCTTGGCTACCACCTGCCTACTCTCTAACCTGTTGCTTCTCCCTTCCCTTCCCTTCCCACCCCCCACCCCTGGGACCCATCAGTCTGTTTCTTTTGGAATGAAAACTTTTATCTTGATTTTTCCCTTTATAACAGTGGTCTCATACAATGTGTTATCTGTCCTTTTCTTAGTGACTTTTCCCCTTAGCATAACGTCCTCTAAAGCCATCCATGTCATTACACATTTCATAATAATTCTTTAATGATGGGAGTATTAATTGTGTATATGTAATGAAGTTTATTTATTCATTCTTCCACTGATGGGCATTTGAGTTGTTTCCAATTTGCTATTGTAAATAGTGCTAGGATAAACATAGATGTGCATGTGTCTGTTCTTACTAAGGTTTTTACTTCTTTAAGGTACCGTATATACTCAAGTATAAGCCGACCCGAATATCAGCCAAGGCACCTAATTTTACCACAAAAACTGCATTAAAAATGTGCTGAAAAACTTGGTTTGTACACGAGTATATACGGTATGTCTATGCCAAGTAAAGAGATAGCTGGATCCTACGCTGTTTCTAGTCCCAGTTGTTTGAAGGAGCACATACCCTTTTCCAAAGTGATTGGACAGTTTTACAGCCCCAACAGCAGGGAGTGAGGGCTCCAATCTCTCTGCACCCTCCCCACCATTTGTTATTCTGGCGCTTGTGAGCTTCGGTGAAGATTCTAGAGATGAATTCCTTGTCCGATTATCAACGTTTTTCCAGGCTGTGGGTTCTCTTTGGAGGAAGTCTTTTGATGCCCTTGGTGTCTGATCTTTAGGAAGTCCCAGTCATCTATTTTGTCTTCTGTTGTGTTTTGTGTTATGTTTAATAGCATGTTTATGCCATGTATTAAGGTCCTTAAATCTGTCCCTATTTTATCATTGATGGTCTTTAAAGTTTAGGGTTTATGTCTAGGCCTTTAATCCTTCCTTGAGGTGGTTTTTCTTTGTTAGTTTTGTATATGGAATGAGGTGTGGATCCAGTTTCATTCTTCTGTAAGTGAGAATACAATTTTTCCAGAACCATTGGTTGAGGAAACACTCTCTTTCCCATTTAATCACTTTCAGCCCTGCATCACTATCAGTTGCCTGTAGGTGGACGGATGTACTTCTGGGCTCTCTTCTCTTCCATTTGTTTACGTAACTATTGTTGTACAAGGGCCAGGCTGTTTTG